GCCAAGTAGGGACTATATCCTTTTTATATCCTAGCTTTGGAGGTCATATCACATAATCTCTGCCATTTTATATTGGTTGTAGTGTAACAGGGTGCAGCCAAGAGGGGGGACCCCAAATAGGGATTTGAAATGGGGTCCAGAACTCAAGGTGTTCAGGAAATATTAGGATGTCCTCACCACCACCCCCACCCCACCCCCACAGGTGTGGGTTGGAGGAAGGGACAAATGGGGCAGGGCCATTGAGAGCTGTTTTGCATAGCAACAGCTTTGCAGCTATCCTCTGGTGTGGTCATTTAACACATCTGTAACCTTTAACTGGTTACATAGATATGTTAAATAGCTGTGGCCATGCTCTGAGCCAGGGGAATGGAAGTAACTTCCCCACCAAGATGTAACTGGGAGGCAGGCCCCCTGAGTTACAGTGCCTGCACCTGTGCGGGAGCTTGGAGAAGATTGGCTCCATGACGTGGGACTATGCCTGCCCAGACTCACGATGGCAGCCCAGTAAAGCTGGAAGGATATGAGAGTGCTGGCAGGTGTAACTGATTGTAGGAGTCTGAAATGGGGCTGCAGAGGAAGATTGGCTCGGGGATTTAAACCCAGACGTGGCTGCAGCCATGTAGGGAGAATCACGCGGCTTTGGCAGAGTGGAGACTCCAGCAGCTTTGAGGAGAGAAGCACAGAGTTTTGGCTGAGTGGGGATTTCTGTGGTCCTGGGGAGAGAGGACCATGTGCCTTTGCCAGAGTGGGGACCCCCACAGCATTAGTAGGGGGAACCACCACCCAGCTTTAGCAGAGATCCCGGTGACACAGCTGAGGGTGCTGGGAACCCAGGGAGGTCTCCCAGTCGAGATGGAGTACTAACTGGGAAGGACTGGGGGCTGCCTGAGCCAAGGACTTCTATTTCCTTTCCTGAGATACAGTACCCCAGACTGGGCAAAGGGGGAAGGAAGGACTGTGTGTGTTTGTGGGTGTTTTAAGGGACTTTAAGATTTTGATGAAGACATTAGGTCACTACTTTAAGTTTGTATAGCATTAAATAAACATTTCCTTTTCACGAATCTCTGGCATTGAGAGACGTCTTTTCTATAGGCGGCCAACATCACGAACCTGGAGGTTCCTTTTGAGTAATAGTATATATCGTCCCAGGCCCCCCCGCCTTGTTGTTCTGTAACAGTAGAAGTTACAAGTCCCCATCAAAATTCAAATAGAGAACATAGACCACTCCTTGTAGTGGGAGAAATATTAGTCACATTTTTTTTTATAAAGCATGTGGGAAGAAACACCTGTGTGTGAGCATATGTATTTGTGCAACTGTCTTTGGGAAATGCAATCTGCCACAACAGGAAAAGAGGAATAAAGGAGCAAATAGTAAAGGGGATTAATGGAAGACAAATACCAAGATGGGATATTTTAATCCAACCATATTAATAATTTCAGTAATTATAAATGGACTAAACCCTCTAAACAGAGGACAAGTGGTCAGACTCACTGAGACAAGTATTGTTTTTCAGAAACATTGTCAGGATAAAGATAGATTGAAAATAGAAGGAGACATAGACAACTTGCAAATAGAAGAAAATATATGCAACACAAACATGGAGCAGACGAAAGCTTCTGGGACTATTTTATATCAAGTTAAATAGAGTAATACTGGAGATAAAAGGGGACATTTGGTAATGATAAAGGAAGCAATTCATCAAGAAATAATCCTAAATGTATATGTACTCTGCAACAAGAGTTTCAAAATACATGAAACAAAATTGAAAACTTTTTAAAAATTCACAGTTGAAGATTTTAACAATTCTCTCTACCAACCAACTTGATCCAGTTGACATTTGTAAAACACTGTAACGCAAAGTGTGGAATACGTATTCTTAATAAGAGACCAGGGCACTGGTTTCTGCTTAGAATATAGGAAGCTGGAAAGATGATTGTTCCTATCATGACAACAAGAAAAATATGCATAATCTTGAAATCATAACTTGAACCTGAGGTTACAACACAGCCAGTGAGCCTGAAATCTAAGAAAAGACAGGTGCCTTCCAGGAAAGATGAAACACACCGGCACACCTGCACCAGGGCCCAGGAGGAAGACAGCGCCGGGATGTGGGCAGATCATTAGAATTCAGCTAACTTGCCGGTGAATTGCTAAAGGCTGGCATAGACAGAGAAAATACCAGGAAGCTGCAGACACAAGTTTGCAGCCAGTGACAAGCTCTCCTCCATGAACCTGACCAGGTGGTTATGAGGAGGATTGGGGGTAGGGCAAGAGTCTGAAAAAAGCTTTCCTTATTTGTACAGGCCTGCAGGACGGAAGCAGTCACCAGTGCAAGCAAGGCACAAAGCCCCACCAGGGACGTTTTTTCCCAATAAAAGCCTTAAGCCACTAGGAAAGAGGATGATGAACTGAGCCAGTTCCCTAGGACTGACGTGTTTCCCCAGATGCAGGACTTCCAATGCTAAACCCAGGTGGTCACAGAAAAATTGGGAGGCGTTAGCCCCCCTCCTGGGGAAAGAGCACCTTGGGTCACTCTCAAGGCCTAGGAAAAGACCCATTTCTTCTAGGGCAGGAAAAAATGAATAAAAGAAAAACCCTATTCCTGGAGAAAGAAAACCACCCTGGGTCCAAATAATTAGAGAGATAAAGAGTGCAGGGCCACTGAGAAATCTCTACGCCCAGGCTCAGGGGCACAGGACCTGCCAGAGACTGAGGCTCAACAAAGAAACTGAAAACATTATACACACCCTCCCCACCCCCACCTCCCCCCACCCCCTGCCATCTGTAGGCTGCTAAGCACCAAGTAACAAGCAAGAGCAGTCAGTCACTCAGGGTGAGCAGAAGCATGAGGAGAGACCTCTCTGGGATGCAGGCACACAGGGAATGCCTAACGCCAAGGCTGGGAAGTGAACATAGAGAAAAACCCTCTAACAAACCAACCTCCATTCTAAATACACAGGAAGAAAAAAAAAACAGGCAGAAGACATGAATAGAGAATTTCCCCAAAGAGAATATACAGACACCCAACAGGTTCATGAAAAGGTGTTCAGCATCACTAATTATCAGGGAAATGCAAATCAAAACCACAAGGAGAAATCACCACGTACCTGATAGGATGGCTATTGCCAAAGAGATACATAACTAGCACTGGCAGGAATGTGGAGAAAAGGGAACCCTTGTGCACTGTTCGTGGGGATCTGAATTGGTGCAGTCACTACAGCTAAGCCCCCTTATCCACAGTTTTCCTACTCATGGCTTTAGTTACCTGTGGCCAACCATGGCCAAAATATTAAATGGAGACTACCAAAAACAAACCATTCTTATGGGGTTTTTATATTTTTTAAAAGATTTTATTTATTTTTAGAGAGGATGGAAGGGAAGGAGGAAGCAAAGGAGAAAGAGAAGTAGAGAAAATTCTCTGAGAAGACCAGCAGAATTGACAAATTCTAACTAGATTGATCAAATAAAAACAAGATGGACTACAAACAAAAAGCACCCGCAGTGAAAGAGGGCTTATCACTGAACATCTAGTAAACATTAAAAGAAAAATACAATAGTCCTCTCTTAGCTACAGTTTTGCTTTCCATGGTTTCAGTTACCCAAGCTTTGAAAATATTAAATGGAGAATTCTAGAAATAAACAATCCGTAAATTTTAAATTGCTTGCCATTCTGAGTAACATTATGAAATCTCAATCTGCCCAGAAGGTGAATCATCCCTTTGTCCAGGGTATCCACCTGTGTATGCTACCCACCTACCTGTCACTTAGTAGCCATCTAGACCAGCGGCCCCCATTTTTGGCACCAGGGATCAGTTTTGTGGAAGACAATTTTTCCACAGACTGGGAAGGGGGAGTGGGGTGAGACAGGAGGCGGAGCTCAGGCTGTAATGTGAACTCACCTCCTGCTGTGCAGCCTGGTTCCTAACAGGCCCTGGATCAGCACCCATCCCAGGCCCGGGGGGTTGGGGACCACTGAACTAGACTGTTGGGCACTGCAGTGCTTCGTGTTCAAGTAACCCTTACAGTAGCCTAAGGCTGTGGCCCAATGCCTGCGTCATTCACCTCCCTTCATCTCATCATGCAGGCATGGTATGATCTCCTATCAGAACCAGAAGGGAGAATACCTTTCAAGAGAAACCATATTCACATAACTCTTACTACAATATATGGTTATAACTGTTCTATTTAATTACTAGCTATTGTTGTTAACCTCTTACTGTGCCTAATGTATAAATTAAACTATCATAAGTATTAGGTCTGTATAAGAAAAAACAGTAGATAGGGTTCTGCACTGCCTGCAGTTTCAGGCATCCCTAAAATCTGAACAAAAATAATTTCTGATTTAATCATGTCCTCGTTTAACCATTGTGTCATTCAGAACCACCTGGTAACTCGCTATTTGCGAAATTTCCAGAAATTAAGCACATCAAAGTCTGCAAAGACTTACCACCTTATTGGATATTCATAGGTACTCAAGGCCACTTTTTTAAAGTTACAGAAAAAAGATTTGAAATAAATGTTAACAATGGAAAATTGTAACAGTGGGAAACTATAACCCACCCCACCATTCTTTTGATATTGTTTCTGTGAGTGCTGACTCTAATATTGTGGCTTATAGATGAGTATGTTTGTGTAAGAATCCTAGGAACTAGTTTCAGATACAGACTCCGGCCTGTAAGCATCCCAGCTCTGGGAGATTTGCTGACCTTCAACCATGGAGCCAGGACGACCAAACCAGGATGATGCTCACCGGACCATCACTTGACCTGTCGGAATGGACTGTGCTCGTCGGTGCAGCCCCCTCCCTTGATCTCTTTGTGTGGCTTCCCCTCTGCCTCCACTGAGAGGTGAAGATGGGCTTTGAGACACGAGTCCCCACCTTCCAGGTGGCCAGCATCTGCAAATAAACCACTTCTCTTCACATCAGCACCTGCCTCTTCAGTACTGGCTTTCGTTGCGGCGGGCAGCCGGACCTGCATTCAGTTACATAAACATCATCTCCTTTGAAGAAAATATTTATTTATAGAATCTGGTATATCTCATTACAGAAAAAGTCACAGCACTTAATAATTGGCACATATTTTATTTCTTCATTTATAATACTTGAAACTAAGGAAATGGCAAGGCAGAAAAACAAATTTTACCTTAAAAAATTAAAAACACATACATTTCAAAAAACCAAATTTAATTCCAAAACAGATTACTCCAGAATGAACAGAATCATTTTCTACTATTTCTATTTGTGCAGTAAACAGTGAAACGTATTTCTGTAATAAACATACTTTTCTTTTTTTTTATAAATGTCTAACCTGTTCCCTTATTTGTTTGTATACTATCCGGGGTGTCCAACCTGCGGCCCACGGGCTGCATGCAGCTGGGATGGCTATGAATTTGGCCCAACACAAAATCGTGAATTTACTTAAAACATTATGAAATTTTTCTGTGATTACATGTTTCAATGTATTTAATGTGTGGCCCATGACAACTCTTCTACTTTAGATTTAAGAATGTTAACAAGATTAAAACATTTTCTTGCCTATCAAGACTATGTCTGAACATGTAATAGCCTCATATCTTAAACCAAAGTTAAATTACAGTGTCCTCTGGAGAAGAAAATTTTCATAAATTATTCATGACCTGATTCCATTCAAAAAAGTGTCAGCAAATGTGAAAAAGAAAATCCTGTTATTTGTCAATTCATGATGCTATGAGGAAAAAAAACAATGCATTCTTTCACAAGAAACATGGTTTTAGAGAACAGTTCTGATAGCATTTCACGTGGCAAAGCATCAGACAGTCTGGTAAATAGCCTCCTCGCTCAGGGGAAAAAAATGATTTCAGTGAGCTCCTCTTCTGAACGGCTCAGTAACCCCAAGTGATTTTTAAATTGGGAGGCAGATTACTGGCAATAAGTTCATCAAATTTAGATCTGTCTTGAATGGGAACCTTATAGAAATCAAGAACATCTCTGACACTGCTCATCTCACACAGCCTGGAGTTAGGCACTGCATGGCCCAAGTCATCAGCTAAACGTGCCAAGAAACCAAACTTCAGATGCCCATCTTCCAGAGAGATGTCCTGCCAATTGCTAGGAGCGGATGAGCCAAAAATTTCTCTGACATGAGATTCCAGGCGACTCTGGAGATCTTCAGGTGGTATGTATGCTCGGCTTCGTAAGGGTGGACACACCAGGATCGGTTCTTTCTTCACCTCTTCTACTGTCTCAGCTACCACCGGCTTTTCCTCTTCTCTGAAATGATGAGAAACAAAGATGTGAATCTTTGGTTCACTGCATTAATGAAGTTGACAAGTTGGCAAACACCAGAACCAATCTTGCCCGTCAAGTTAAATCAATAATTAATTTGCACGCTTACTACCCTTCTGGGCACTGTGGAAAGAGGAAAGAATAAGATGGGTTCTTGTCCTTGGAAGCTAATAATTGAACTGAGCTGGCACAGACCAAAAAACAAAAACTAATTACAGATTTTACATGCTCTATGAATTCCCAAAGATGTAAGCTGTATGGGATTTTCAGTCCTCCAAGATCCAAACCCAACCTACCTCTGTAACTTCATCTCTCACTGATGTCCTGCAAACACTCTCTGCCCTACCCAAACAAAACTATATTGTTTCCTACTTTCCTGACATCTTGTATTAGTTCAAGTTATAGCCTATCCAAAATGCCTGTCTTTCACCTCTACCTATAAAAATCCTACTCATTCTGTAAATCCTAGGAAAAACTTGTTCTCTTCCAAGGAACTTTACCTAGTTTCCCCAATCAAATACAAGTCCAAGTTTCTTTGAACTCCAATAGCAGTTTATATTGCTCTCAGAGCACCCTGCATCCTACCTGCACTTTCATTTCACTGACATTCTACTTCTTTTACTAGATGATCAGGGTTTCTTGGCCCAAACATCACCAACATTTTGGATGAGACAATTCTCTGTTGGAGGTGTGGGGGGTGGGATGCGGTTCTGTTCAGTTCATTGTAGGATGCTTAGTGGCATCTCTGGCCTCTACCCACTAATGAGTATCCCAGTAGCACACCTGTCCTCCAGTCATGAGAATCACAAGACATTGCCAAATGTCCCCTGGTGGGCAAAAATGCCCCTGGTTAAGAACCACCATGCCAGATTATCAACTCCTGAATACACAGGCCTGTTTCATTGACTTTGGGGGTCCTTTGAAAACTGTTCGAATATTGAGTAGATGGGCCAACGTAAGGGAATCTGCCTGACACATTATTTCAGTGCTTAATAAAATGTTCGTTCATAAACTGACTCCTGTCTTCCATGGAGTTGGCACTGGACTGGGATTGGGCATCCCTACAGACACTGGAGGCCCTGGAAATGAACAATGTTTGGCCAAGAACAGGGTCTGTAATGCTACTCCTCTTTGCCTATTCAGACCCTTCCAGCAATATATCCCTATTTCTGCAATTCTTTATCAATTTCTACATACCCAATAAGTGTATTCCCAGGGCACAGAATATGCCATAATATCACCTGTCTTTAAAGAAAAAAAAAACATAAAACACCTAGTTTCCATGCTCCCTTCCAGCTTCTTTTACAACAAGAGTTCTCGGAATAGTTGTCTATACTGATATTCTTCACTTCCTCGCCTCCATCTTCTCCCCAAACTACTCTAGTCACAGTTCATCAGAATGAAATGAAAGCCATTCCTTCCATCTCCGTCATCTCTTACGCTGCTCTACTTTTTGTCATGACTTACCACCATCTGAAAATATATTCTACATTTGTTCATTTTCTCCTCCACCAGAACGTTTTACAAGAGCAAAGGTGGGATCTGTCTTATTAACAGCTGGATCCCTAGCACCTAGACACATGGCATATATAGTAGACACTCTGTAAGTATTTGTTCAGTGAGTGAATGCAATAAACCTGAAGGAGATTTAAGAGACAATAACAAACAGTAGTCAAAAAAGAAGGGTAGCTAATAAATACATAAGCTGATGACAAAAATCCTTCTAGAGTAAAAGAGTTTTTGTTTGAAACCTAAGAGCGTATACGTTGCTCCCTGAGGTTCCCACAGGTTCCGTGGTCCCAACACTATTTGAGCCAAACAGATTTCCCTTCAAAAGATTCCACAGGGGGCTGAGAGGAAAGCAGTTAATGGAGAATAAAGAGACCTGGGTTCGAATTCAGCTCTGCCCTTGACTTGTGACTTGTGGGGTAGGGAGATTAGTGGGGCGGTTCTTTGAAAACACAAGTAAATTCAACACGTTATATTTATAGTGGGAGGGGCATGTAGATGTATTTACTGGGGTTAAAAATATTCCTCTCTGTGGGTCCTCATATATCAGCGTCCTTAAGCTCTGACAAGGGACTTTACTTCTTCTGCTGTATCCTATTTAGAGAAATGCTGGGCCAGAGAAGGCGCTTCACAACTGTCTGTTGAGTAAGTCAATGAATGAACAAACGAACAAAATGAGGAGGTTGCACTTCATCTCTGAATATCGCTTGTTTAGAAATATGCCCAGCAAGTGAGTTTAGTTTATGAAGCACTCTCACGCTCCTGTTCTAAGTTGCTTGTATGCTTCCTGACACCACACTCGTTGTCTGGAACCCCAAATCAGCACTGTTTGCTTAATAAATTAATGAGCGGACTGACTGGGAACGGGGGCGGTATTTCTGTTACAAGATGAGAAAACTGAGGCCACGAGAACTGACCCAGCTCCCCGGCTCGCGGAAACCAGCACTGAAGCGGAACTCAGAACCCTAACGCACTTGTCATTCCCCCAGCCAGGAGCAGGACCTCGTCTTAATAGCACGACATTCCCTTTTGAATTCGTCCTCTCATCTTCCTCAGTTTCTTTTCTTACTTCCCGTGACTGTAACCGACCATCTAACCTTTTGCTTTACCTGGATCGAGACCAAAATTCTCGACGTGGGGCCCCTGTGATAATCCACGTGAGGCCTCTCCTGGTGACACCGGGCACTGAAATCGCCGCCATCTCTGAGAATAGCTAGGAGCCAGAGCCCCGCCCCCGGCCGACAGAAAGTAGCCAATCGGGTGTAAACTTAGTGGCGTGTATCTCTCTGTTCTTAATAAACTCACAGCGACTCCCTTTGCATGCCGGGAAATGTAGTCCAGTAGCCTTTGCCGGCAGGGCTGGTCCGTGACGCTCTCTCGGAGCATGACGGGAGTTGTAGTTGGGGGACGTCCCGGGAAGGTGCCGGGTGACGCCTTCTGGTCCGGGGGCGGTCGGTCACAGAGCTCCTTGGCTGAAAGGAGGAGGAACTGACAACGGGGAGGAGGCTGTAGAGAGGCCTGGAAGGTGCGCAGCCAAGCAGGAGAGGGAGTTCGGGGTTTGGGGGCGGCCTAGGAGCGCTTCTGAAATGCTGCTGGGGTCGTGACCGCTCGGGGACCAAGGCAGGACCTGGCCAGACCCAGCCTGGAGGCCTCCCCTTCATCGGGCCTAATCTCCAACGGTCGGATAGGCCGCACCAGAGGCTCCTTTCTGTGGGCCGCCCCAGTTTCCTGCCCTGATTTCTGGCCAGGAGATGGCCTCCCCGAGCCCCTCGCTGGAGCCAAAGGTAAGTTGCCCCTCTGGGTATCCCCTTTCGCTACTACTGAATTTAGGCCGCGCTCCTCCGCACCCCGTCCCGAAGACCGCCGTTTTTAGAGCCAGTGCAGTGCAAGGAAGTACCCCCTAGTGCTCTGGGGTGCGGTTCGAGAGTAAACTGACCACTGGCTCATATTTTTCCAAGAACGCCTTGATAAATTAGTAATGTTCCAAACTAGCGCTCTCATTTGTAAGTTATTCCAGGTGAGGCATCATTTTTTGACCATCTGCTGTGCCTTCTGCGCCTGTCATGATGTTTGGCCCCAAGATAGACTCTTAGAAAACTTCATAGAATTGAATTGAACAGGGTCGCAAGCTGGTGAGAATAAAGAATGGAGCCGGGCAATGAGGTGAAGGAAGCTTCGGAAGGCTTACTACAATTAAAATATTAGGGTCTAATTATTAAACCAGAAAAAGCCTTATCCTTAGGCCCCTCACTAGCGAAGGACAGTGATCCAGCTCACTTACTCTCTAGTCTGATGGGCCTGTCTGTTACAGTCGGTTCCCAGAATTGGGCCCCACTTGGAACTCGTAGTTACCACGTTCCTTCTAGCCTTTCCGGCCCTGATAAGTGCTACTTTGCAGTAGTAGAATTGTCCTTGAGACAACAGGAACTGACTACAGAAATCATACTATTTCAGGGGTTGCTGACTTTTGAGGATGTGGCTGTGTTTTTTACCCAGGAGGAGTGGGATTATCTGGATCCAGCTCAGAGAAGCTTGTATAAAGATGTCATGATGGAGAATTATGGAAACCTGGTCTCACTGGGTAAGAATCTGCTGTTTCTGATTAAAATATCTAAGAGGCTGTTAGAAGTCAGACTCTTAAGAACACTTGGACCAATACCAGAACCAAAACTGCTTTGTTCCAAACTTCTGATTCAAACCTTTCAGCCATCAATTGTTTACATGACTCTCACCCCTTGCATTTTAGCAATGACCAAAATACAAGCCTTTCTGGCTTCCTATCCCATATTGCTCTGTACTTTCCCTCCTGGCTCATCCTCCCACTGCTTTCCTCCCACTCCTTTTCACTCTGCCTTCTGGAGCCCCTGTTCCTCTTCACATAATGTTCCTTACCCCTCCTGGCCTTAACTGAAACCTGGCACTTTCCCAAGGACACCACTTCTCTGGGAGGGGCTGCTTATTCTCCCACATCCTCTTCCTTCCCATCCTTTGTCTCCAGGCTGCAAGGGAGAAGAAAGTATTTTACTCCCAGCTTTTCAGTGCTCTTCCCAAAGGATTCATTTTCCACCTTGAAACACAATCTCTCCCCTTTGAGACCTCAGCAGTCTTGCTCTACCCACTCAACTCCTTTTCACTACCATTTGGCAACTTTTTTGGACCCTCACTCATAGACTTTGTCACATGTTTCAGAGTCCTCTGTGCTAACCCTCACCTTCGATGATGCAGTCACTACTTAAGCCTCAGTCTGTTTTGACCATGTTGTCTTCAGGGCTATCCCTTTTTATTCAGCAACTCATATCAATGATCATACCCTCGATTTTGTTTTAACAGGCAAAACTAAAACCCCAGTATCTTATTCTTGACCAAATAAATATTCAGGCGTTTATTGACTGCAACTCAATAGTGGTTGAGTTACAGACATCAAAACAGATATCATCTCAAGGGGAGCTTACTTCTTACCTTCCTCTCTTACTCCTTTCCTACTATACCTATTCATTCTTAATGATGTTTCCTGTACCTTGACTTCCCTGTTTTTTTCTTCTGCTGCCTCACTCCTGGTCTGCTCTGTGGATCTGTATGTGAGCTATCACCAGCATGCTCTCCTGCCACCTTGTCACTATGCTCTGCCTGTTCTGCACGCTTCACATCCTGTATCCAGTATGAAGCCTGCCTTTTCTGCTCTCTTACTTGCATTGCTAAATGCACCAGGAGGAATTTTTTAACATAAAGAATTGATGCCCTGTGTATATTCATAGCTGTTCTTCCTTCTAGTCTCCACTGGGTTTTTACATCTCAACAAGTTTTTATCCTTAATGTGCTCATTCCCCTGTTCCTTCCAGTGACTATCCCAAAACACGAGTTTTCCTTGGGTCCGTCCCTCAGCAGTGGACCTCACCTGCTCTTTGACAGAGAACACAGAGGCCATTAAACATGACTTCTCAACTTTTTGGCCCCACATCTTGCACCCTGAAGGCTGCCCCTATCTTCTCACTTCTCTAACTACTTATACATCAGTCATCCTTTGCCTTTTTTTTCCTTAAGAAGGAATAAAGCTTCAGTCTTTATTCCTTCTCCTCTGGTGTCTTTATGCTGATGATAGGTGTGTGCATGGCTCTTCCCATTGGGGGAAGGAGGAGGAAAAAGAAAAAATCTACCATTTGAGCCACAGTCTCCCTCCTGCTGCTCCCTGTAGCCAGCTGCTACTCCTCTTCAGCCAAGTTTTTGTCTGCAGTTAATGTGGTCTGTACTTTTTTCTCTAAGCCCCTTGTCTTGCCCCTACCACTCCCCTTAAATTGTTTAACATTGGCCTGTAATGGTCCAGTTGTCAAATGCCATAGACTGTCTTCAGATCTTATTTTATTCCACGTATCTATAGCTACTTGAAATTCTTTATTGTTTCCTTCCATTGCCCTGCATTCTCAGACTTCCTCTCAGTTGTTGAGTTTATCACACTTTACTATAATCATTCTTTATTTTATTTCTCTAACTAGATTGATGTTCATGAGGACAATAACGCTATAGTTTTTCATTTGATTTCTCCGGAGCTTAGGACAGAACCAGGAGTATATTATATGCTTCTCAAATGTGTGTGTGCCTGAATGGATATACTTAAAACTCATAACTTGACTAGATTATAACATTAGCCTTTAAATTAGCCCCCTGCCTCTAGTCTCTTTTTCTTTTAATATATTCTCTTTCTTGCCAACAAAATGATTTTGTGTTAGTTTCCATACACTTTTTTCTTTTTTCTCCCTCCCCGCAGATTTGGGAGGAAAATGGGGGTGCATCTTATAGTCCGAACGTAGCTTGCCTGGCTCGCTGGGTGGGGGCCGGAGGGGCGGGGGTGCAGTGGCAGTGGAGCAGGGTCACCGGTTATTGAATATTTTACCACATTCTTGCTTCAAAATTTTTTTTCCTATTTTCTTCCTTTAAAACCTAGATGTGTCTTAATGGTCCGATGTGTCCTATAGTCCTAAAAATACGATAATCGCTTACAACTCGTAGTGATTCCTGACAGCTTAAAGGATAAAAATCTTGACTTCTTATCTTATCTGCTAGGACCTCCCTAATATAGTCCCTGCCTAGATTTTTAGCTTCATCTGTTTCTGGCATACCATTTCCATCTCCAGCATTATCAGCTGTTGATTTTTTTTTTTTATATTCCATGGTGTCTTGAGTTACTGCCAACTTTGTCTATGCATATGCTATCCTGGTTGATAGAACCAGGCGAATGACCAGCCTTGCCTTCCCCAGTACTGCAAAATGTGAGTGCCATATGCACAAAGGCATGGCAGTGAGCCCATCTATGATCTGCTCTCAGCCTCTCTTCTTTATTTTAGCAAAACACAGCTTTTCATCATTTATTCCACAGTCTTTTCATCCTCCTCTATAGACTTCCCACCCCCTTGATGAGAGTTCCTTGAGGAGAGAACATTGTTACTCCACTGTTCCAATCTCGTTTCTTTACTTCTAGCTTTGTAATTTTCGTTCATCATTCATACCTTTCCTTAAAACATTAATAGCTACATTGATACAGCTGGCAGCTTGATTTCTCAGTTATCTTGCAGTTCTTTTAGCTAAAGTCAACTTGTTCAGTTTAATGGCTTCTCATTGCCATTTCCTTGCCTTCTCTCTGTTTCCTCAGCTACCATAATATTATAACACTGTTTGGTTAAAGATTATAGAGATCAGCCTAAACTAGCTTAAGGTGACAAGCGAAGTTATTACAGGGAATTAGATGACTCATGGAATATATGAGCAAGATTGTAACTGGGCATCAGAAAAGAATCAAAGCCAGAAATTGGATCACTCTCAGGAAGTCGGGAATTAACTGTGTCTTTGTGCTCTGTTTCTTTCTGCTTGACAGAATAGTCTTTCCTCCTATGTTCACATGCTTTTGTCCCTTCAGCTTCTGACTTGATAGGTTACAATTCTAGTCACATTCAGACTATCTGTTTCAGTTTCAATTCCAAATTCCTGGGAGAGAAGATACCCTTTGAGTCAGTTGTCTACCATAGATGAATTAGATGTGCTCACAAGATGGGAACACGTAAGTGTGGCAGATAACCCAGAGGTGATTATAGCTACCAAACCCAGGTCTAATGGCTAGTCATCTCTAGGCTGCTCCATCTGGAAGCCTAGACTCGCTAATCTCTTTACCTACCTGATTGACCTATTTACTTTTATGCTGGTGCCTCTCTGTTTCATTTATTTTAGCAATATTTTACATTT